ACATACATTTTAAAATATCAAAACATGCTTACAAGTAACCCATGGGCCAAATAATAAACCAGAGCTGAATTTAAAAATAGAGGCCCTTGTGGTTCAGAAGCACTGAGCATTAATTAATAATAGATACGATGAAGTATAAGAACAGTAGTCTCATTAAAGGAATTACACATTTGAGTCAAAATAACTTATGAAGCCTAATGAAAGATTATAGTTAATAATTGCTAGGTTTGGGGGAAAAATTAATAGTTGAGCTTGGAGTTTCCACAATAAATTTTCTTTTAAAAATTGATCATAGTTTACAATGGATTATTGTTTACAATAATCCATTGTATATCTCTATCTAAAAGAGAATAATTCAAATGTTTCTAACGTAAAAGACAAATATTGAAGATGATAGATACCGCAGTTACACTGAATTGATCTTTACAAATTACATAAAGGTATTAAATCATCACATGTATACTGAAAATATGTATTTCTCTTATGTATCAATCTTTTAAAATTTTGAAAAATGTTTTAAATTGATCATTTTTTGGTGATTAAAGTAATAAAACCAAATACCAGAATGAGAAGATAATTACAAATACATCAAAGCTAAAGATAGTCTGTAATCCTAGTGCTTTTGGAGACCAAGATGCAAGATTCACCTGAGGCCAGGAGTTGGAGATCAGCCTGAGAAACACAGTGAGAACCTGTCTCTACAAAAAAATTTTAAAATTAGCCATCTATGGTGGTACACGGCAGTAGTCCCAGCTATTCAAGGGGCTGAGGTGAGACAATTGCTTGAGCCCTGGAGTTTGAGGTTACAGTGAGCTATGATCAAGCCACTGTACTCCTGCCTGGGTGGTAAGAGCAAGAGCCTCTCTCTTAAAAAAAAAAAAAAAAAAAAAAAGAAATTGTGTATGACAACCCAAAATTGATCTAAGTAGACTGTATGTTCTAAATATCAAATCCGGAAACACTTGTGACAGATATGACAGGAAAGAAATGAAGAAATTTGGGCAGAGGGCATGAAGAAATTATTTACAAAGCAAGAAACCGAAATAGCTAATAAATAGTTGAAAAAATGTTCAACGTCAAATATAATGGGCAGAAGGAAGGGAGCAGTACTGAGATAACAGTTTTCATTTCGAATTGTCAGGGTGAAAGAGATTGAAAAACTCACATGCAGGGTATGTATACACAGGGTTTATTCAGATATTTTCTCCATATGTCATTCTGCTTGGCTTATGGCCTCTTTGCCATGCACAAAATTTAATTTTTTATAGTAATATTTTTAATTAAATATTTTTTATTGATACATAATAGTTGTACATATTTTGGGGTCTGTATGGTCTTTCAACACATGTATGAAATGTATAATGATCAAATCAGGGTAACTAGGTTATCCATTGCCTTAAATATTTATCTTCTTAGGACTGTTCTAAATCTTCTAGCTATTTTGAAATATGCTATAAGCTATTGTTAACTGTTGATTCTATTCTGCTATTGAACACTAGACCCTATTCCTTCTATCTAACTGTATTTTTGTACCCATTAACCATCTCGTCGTCATACCTACACTCCTCTCCTTCCCGGCCTCTGCTAATCATCATTCTACTCTGCTTTAATGATCAGCTTTCTTAGCGTTCACATATTCTGAGAACATGCAGTATTTGTCTTTCTGCTTCTAGCTGATGTTACTTAACTTAATTACCTCCAGTATTATCCATGCTGAAAATGTCAGGATTTTTTTTTTTTTTTTTTTTTTTTTGAGACAGGGTCTTGCTCTGTCAGCCAGCCTGGAGTACAGTGGCATGATCACAGTTCACTGCAGCCTTGATCTCCCAGGCTCAAGTGATTCTCCCACTTCAGCCTCCCAAGTATCTAGGACAACAGGTGTGTGCCACCACACCTGGCCACTGGCTAATTTCTTTTTTATTTTTATAGAGATACACTTCCTATCTTACCTAGGCTGACTCTGAACTCCTGAGCTCATGTAATTCTCCTGCCTTGGCCTCTCAAAGTATTGGGATTACAGACATGACCCACCACATCTGGCCAGGATTTTTTTTTGAGGGGGGAGGGGGGCTGACTAACATTCCATTGAGTACATATGCCAGATTTTCTTATTCGTTCTTCTGTTGGTGGACAGCTGTCTTGGCTATTGTGAATAGTGTTGCAGTGAACATAGGTGTGCAGATGTCTTTTCAGTATGCTGATTTCCTTTCTTTTGGATATACACCCAGCTATGGGATTGCTGGATAATATGCTAGATCTATGTTTAGGTTTCTGGGGAGCCTCCGTACTGTTTTCTGTGGCGGCCATACTAATTTACATTCCCAGCAGCAGTATTCTCTTCTCCCTGCATTCTCACCAGCATTTGTTATTTCTGTTAATAGTCATTTTTGATAATAGTCATCTTAACTGGGGTAAGATAGCTCATTGTGATTCTGATTTGCATTTCCCAGATGATTAGTGATGTTAAGCATTTTTTTTCACATACACTTAGGCCAATTATATATCTTCTTCTGTGAAATCATTTGCCCATTTTTAAATTGGATTACTTGGCTTTTTGCTGTGAGTTACTTATACATTCTGTCTGTTAATCCCTGGTCAGAGAGTTTGCAGATATTTTCTCTTGTTATGTGAGTTGTCTTTTTACTCTGTTAATAGTTTCCTTTGCTGTGGAGAAGGTTTTTTAGCTTTATGTAATCCCATTTGTCTATTTTCGCTTTTGTTGCATAAGCTGTTGAGGTGTTACCCAAAAAAATATCTGCCCAGACCAATGTCCCAAAGCATTTCTTCAATATTTTCTTCTAGTAGGTTCATAGTTTCAGGCCTTAGATTTTAATTTGATTTCCATATAAAGTAAGAGGTGGGGGCATATAGTTTCATCCTTTTATATTTGGAAATCCAGATTTCCCAGCATTATTTATTGAAGAGCCTATTTTTTCCTCAATATCTGTTCTTGACATCTTTGTCAAAAGTGAGTTGGCTGTATATGCATAGATTTATTTCTTTGTTATCTATTCTGTTCTTTTGGTCTATGTGTCGTGTTTCTATGCTAGTACCATGCCGTTTGGGTTACTACAACTTTATTGCATTTTAAAATCTGGTAGTGTGATTCTTCCAGCTTTGTTATTTTGCTTGGGATTGTTTTGGCTATTTGAAGTCTTTTGTGGTTTCATATGAATTTTAGAATTTTTTTTCCTATTTCTGTGAAGAAGGTCATTGGTATTTTGATAGGAACTGCATTGAATCTGTAGATTGCTTTGGGTAGTATGGACATTTTAACAACATTAAGTCTTTCAGTCCAGGAGCATGGAACAGCGCTTCATTTGTTTGTGTTCACTTCAGTTTCTTTGATCTGTTTTTTTTTTTTTTTTATAGTTTTCATTGTGAAGTTATTGTTTCGATTGTGCAGCTTTTATGAGTTTTGGTTATATTACTTTTGTGTGCTGTTAACAACTTGACAAAGAATTACTCTTTGATACAGTAATTCGACTTCTAGGAATTTGTCCCAAGGCATAAAATGCTATCTGTACTCAAGATTGTTCCTCATATCCTTGTTAATATTAGGGAATAACTGAGCAAAGTTCCAGAAAAAGAGGACTTGTTAAAAAGCTTATGGTATGTGTATATATAGACAGATACACACACATACACAGACATATTATTTATATGTCTACAATTTAAGGAATTAAGCAGTACATGAATAACCATTAAAGTAATATATTGATTAATATTTATATAGAAAGATATGCATGATACTAGTAAGTGAAAAAAGCAGTATATATCCCTTTTATGTAAACTTGCATGTGTACCTATCAGTTGTAAGGAGCAGCTTGTCTATAGTTGCACAGGCAGTGGTGGTCTGAGGCAGCTGTGCTGTAAAATTAAAAGCACTGCAATGGATTGAGGGGCTTGAGTTTTACTCATTGTTTTGCTAACTGTGCTCCTCTTGACATGCCTTTTCATATCTCTGGTCCTCCTGGATGCCCTCCTCTCTAAAAATGAGGAAAGGAATGGGCATTTCACTTTATTAGCGGTAACAGATACACCATAATGCCTGGCACATCGCTCTTCTGCAGGCGTGGTAGACGCTGGAGGTCAGTCTTAGTGTTCTTTCTCTGGGCTCACTCATGTTCTAGAATTCTTCTGAGCACACAGTTTTAGGCCACCGTTTCTAAGCAAATTGTGCTTATATGGAAAACTTCTTTGCCATCCTTGAAAGAGGATCTTAGATATTCTTTCAGCTAAAAGATTTCTCTAATTTAAGTACGAATTATTGTGACAAGAACTAACAGAGAATCCTTTTCAATAAATAATGTTTTAATTTTCTAGTATCCATATGTTTTTTTAAAAAGTAAAAAGGTAAAAACAAACAAGTGAAATAAGTGTTGATAAAATTTTATTAAATAAAATATTTTAACATGTAGCTGGTATAAAACAATGATTAATAAGATATTTTACCTTTTCATTTTTGCATACAAAATCTTTGAAATCCAGTGTTTATTTGAAGCACATCCCATTTCAGCTGATAAATTGTCATTGTGAATACTTGATTTGTATTTAAATTTACAATTTAAAAAGCAGATTCTCATACCCATCTTAAGTTTTCTAATAATTGAATTGAGTGTTCTTATGCTTAAATAAAAATAAAAATTGAGATGTCACATTTCAAGTATCTAGTAGCACAGATATTCAGTGACCGTATGCAGATCAGTAGAAGTTTGGGGGATACAAAAACTTTTTCTAACTTTTACCCATCAAAGAGATTTTCTAGTTGGAAAAGCAAGATATCAAAAATAAGCATGTCAAGAATATAACCCAATACAATATAATTAAGTGCTAGAAGTTTGCCGTGGACATACAAAGTGCTATGTGGGAAGGAAGTTCCAGAAACACCACAGCTGGGTACTTTCTTCACCACTCGGAAGTCTGAGTAGTGGCAGTGATGCATGACTTTGTGAGAATGGAGTGTCTTACTTTAGAAAGTGTGTGTGTTCTGCCTGCAGGCACGGGACTCGCTGTGCTGGTGAAGTGGCAGCCGCTGCAAACAACTCACACTGCACAGTCGGAATTGCTTTCAACGCCAAGATCGGAGGTATGGGAAACCAACTTACGTGCATATAGAAATGTGCCAGTTAAAAAAATCTGGAGACAACAGATGCTGGAGAGTATGTGGAGAAATAGGAACACTTTTACCTTGTTGGTGGGAGTGAAATGAGTTCAACCATTGTGGAAGACAGTGTGGTGATTCCTCAAGGACTTAGAAATAAAATTCCATTTGACCCAGCAATCCCATTACTGGGTATATATCCAAAGGATTATAAATCATTCTGTTATAAAGACACATGCACACATATGTTCATTGAGGCACCATTTACAATAGCAAAGACCTGGAACCAACCCAAATGCCAATCGATGATAAACTGGACAAGGAAAATGCAGCACATATACACCATGGAATACTATGCAGCCATAAAAAACAATGAGTTCATGTCCTTTATAGGGACATGGATGAACCTGGAAACCATCATTCTCAGCAAACTGACACAAGAGCAGAAAATCAAACACTGCATGTTCTCATGCATAGGTGGGTGTTGAACAGTGAGAACACATGGACACAGGGAGGGGAGCACCGCACACTGGGGTCTGTTGAGGGGCGCTACGGGAGGGACTGTGGGGGATAGGGAGTTGGGGAGGGATAACATGGGGAGAAATGCCAGATATAGGTGACGGGGTTGGAGACAGCAAACCACATTGCCAGGTATGTACCTATGCAACAATCCTGCATGTTCTGCACATGTACGCCAGAACCTAAAGTACAATAAAACATATTTTAAAAAATAAAAAAATTTTTTTAAAAAAGAGGGCCAGTTGGCTCTTTGCCTGACAGGCTTTTAGAATCCTTTTTAAATGGAGGTGAAACGGTTGGGCATATCTTTACGTAATAGTGTTTAACTATTGCTGGCCCCAGCATGACCATGTTAGCACGCTCTGCTAAATATATTTAGTTAAAGACTTCTGAAGCAGTAACCCTAAAATAATGTAAACAGTTTTCTTTTAAACAGACTTGAAAAAAAATGTCATCTAGTAGTGAAGATGGGGGTCCATTGACATCTGTACCAAAATGCTACAATTGGTGCCTGGGTCAGAAAGAACTGATAATATAAACATTAGGCCGTAATATCTCTATGGAAAGAAGCATTTTGTAATTCTCTCAAAGTAGAAAATCTTGGTTTTGTTTCTGTTTTTGTTTTCTTTAGGCTTAGCCTTTTAAAATTTCCTTTAATTGTAATTAAAATGATAAATGGCAGAAATATCCTTTTGTAACCCCCTAATGCAGTGATACTATTTCCACGAATGATTCAGATTATGTCAATACACAGGCACATATGTGTACAAACTCAATTATACATATACTTACTATAAGGGCCCAGCCAAAGCAGTGTAAATTTAAGCATTGATAATAGCAAATTCTTAACTTTCCCATTTGTAATCATCTTTGCAAGCAAAGCAGCCTGGTGCCACAGCCACACACACATGGGAAGAAGACATTGTCATAGATTTTGTGGATCCTGATGATTTTATCATTATACCTGAAGGTGTTCTCTAGGGGTCTCCTATGGGTGTCATAAGATAAATGAAGCACCTGGAGCTGCGCTGACCGCCTTGTTTCCAATGCACTATTTGTTTTCGAGTGGGAAAGAGTGTTGGAACTAAAAAACAAAAATGGCAATTCTTTCTGGGATAGGAATATAAATATATAGTTTCCCTAACATGAGATATTTAAGGTATACAATAATAGAAATAAGGCTTTCTGAAACTACCTTGAATTTCAGTCCACACTACATTGCCTCTTTCTTTCCTTCTTCTCTCCCTGAATTCTTAGGAGTATGATTGTTTGTTAAGCAGTAATTAATTAGCAGGGAGCATCTGCTCTTTATTAAGTGCAATGAATATGAAAGAGCTAAAGAAAAGAGGCAACAAAAAAATTCTCCATTCCCTGAAGAATAATCAGCATTCTGGAGGCCCCTCTTCATCCCAGGGGAGATCAGAGGCTGCCAGGTCAGCCCTTCTCATGGTCCATGATACAGTTTCTCCCATCCACAGACACACAGCCCCAGGTTCTCATCATTACTCTCCAGCACAAACTCAGAAATCTTAATAATTTTGAAAGAATGAGGGGATGAACTTGTGAACTCACAGATAAACCAATGACCTAGCTTACAGAACCGTATTTTTTAAAGGAAGAATGTATGGCAATGACTCAAAAATGTTCTAAAACAAGAACATTCTGAATAATAAATTTAACCCCAGACCCAAGACATGAAATCCTAGAGTTAAATGAGGAAAAAGAAGCAGCGTTTTATCTTTAAACTTGACAAAGTAAAATAATTCTTTTTTCGTGAAATTTCTGTTAGAAAATTAACATGAGCCTCTTAGTATGATTTACAAGCATTTTTTTGTGAACTTCACATCAATTACATGACATTAACGTAGAAACTGAATTCAGGTGTTATATCCTACTGTTATGGTGGCATTTAAAACACTAGAGACCTTATTTGTGGCAATTACTGTGTTTATTTCAGACCTCATTGTACCAATAACATAGTTTCATTTTATGCTTTTCACAAAAGCATAAAAGAGGATGGAGTAGTTCATCTGTCTTTGCTGAAAAAAAAAACATGCAGATGAATTTTGAATGTTCAAATTGAACGAAAACAAACCAGTGGTTAGGACAAAGTACATCGAGAACATCATGTAGGGTTTTTCATTCACACAAAACAAACCATTGACAAACTTTCCAATTTTCATTGCCAAATTTTTAATGGAACTTGTTCATAACCTTCAGTCTCGACCTCTCCTGTTAACACACATCTCCATTAAAAATTCAAAAGTCTAGAAGAAAGAGAGTTGAGAGACATTAACCAAATGCAATGTCTTTAGAGATACATGGGGCAGAATGGAATGTTGGCTAGATGTTAGATGACAATGGGGACTTATTTCCCTATTTTTTGTAAAAAAAAAAAATTTAAAGGATGAAGGATCATATCTGTCATGGAATTCAAAATGGTTTAACCTAGTATTTATAATTTTGGATTAAGAAAAAGAGACAAAATGTTAACAGTTATGGAGTAGTGAATACATATATATGTTCATTCTTCATTTTCTATTTTTGTTTGCAAGTTTAATAGTTAAAAGTTAAACATTTTTAATGCACAAAGAAGATACCTATATAGTTTCCTCAAGAAGATTTTTATTTCTGCTAATATTCCCACCTCAATTCACATAGACTCTATCTAAAGCTGTTTGATTTGGGGTTTTATTAGTTAATCTTCATTTATTGGTAACCAATAAAAACTTAAAATCCTACTGATCACAAGGCTTTCCTAAGGATTAAATCTGGCCTGTAAATATATAATTTTTAAATGATGCAGTGTTTCAGTGATGGTATTTAGTTTAAGCTGAAGGAGAGACATGTTTACTTAACAGATGTTTGGTTGTGGTTGCTTTTGTGAGCCTCCAGAATAAAAGGAAAAATGGAAAGCCTAACATTTTCTTTTTTTTTTTTTTTTTTGGAGGCAGAGTTTCGCTCTTGTTACCCAGGCTGGAGTGCAATGGCGCGATCTCGGCTCACCGCAACCTCCGCCTCCTGGGTTCAGGCAATTCTCCTGCCTCAGTCTCCCGAGTAGCTGGGATTACAGGCACGCACCACCATGCCCAGCTAATTTTTTGTATTTTTGGTAGAGACAGGGTTTCACCATGTTGACCAGGATGGTCTCGATCTCTTGACCTCATGATCCACCCGCCTCGGCCTCCCAAAGTGCTGGGATTACAGGCGTGAGCCACCGCGCCCAGCCAAGCCTGACATTTTCATAGAATTTATTTCTGAATATCTTAGTGTCTCTTTTTGCAAAATCGGGTTAATAGTAAATTCCTATCTGTTTGATAGAAATATACTTAAATGAAGATTAATAACTAAACATTGCTAAGACCCTTTGAGAATTCTTTGAAATGCTACATCCACAGAGGTTATTCTCATTTGTTATTTGACATAAATAACTTAGCAAAAAAAAGAAGCATTAAGTTTACATCAGTCTATGATTAGGGGCTAATATTAAATATGGAAGACACAAAACCATTCTACCTTGGCAGCTTTCCAAATAGTATATGACTGCTAAGGTTAGATAGAATGTTTTATAGCAATTATGAACACAAGTTCTTCATTGAAGAGTTTAAGGAAGATGGATTGCTTGAAGATCTCTTTGTCAAGTACTCATGCAAGAGAAGAAAGAGAAGATAGAGACTGTGGCAGCTTTTATAAGAACTGGAACCTTAGAAAAAGAAAATGAAGGATTAAAAAAAATTTAATTTTGCTCTTTGATATACCATGTGACATCCTTTCTCCCCAAGATACTGCCCGCAAAGTATACATTATCCTTTTGCTGGGGGAAGATAT